TTTGTGACCCGAATTGGTCGTGAACAGAAGCGTTCGTGACCCGAGGTACCACTGTATATCTTTTGAGATGAATTATAAATCAGAACCTAATTTTACATGTGTCTAAGGAGCAAATGTATATATCTAAAAAGATGGCATGAATTCTATAAGAATAACTAGAGTAGATCTTTTGAGTACTGCGAAGAGTAACTATTTTGAGTACTCCGAAGATATCTCTCCAAATTTAGTGACTGAACCACTAAATGGCAAATGCAAGTCAATGTCAGCAAATGTAAAGTAATGCATATTGAAGCTAGGAATTCATGCTTCACTTATAAAATGTTGGGGACTGAACTGACAGGCCAACCAAGAAACAGATCTTTAGATCACTGGAATAGTTCAGTGAAACAATCTGCACAGTATGCAGCAGCTTAAAGAAGCAAATTCTATGGTTGGGGGAGTTAGAAAAGGTATAATTTAAAACAAATATAGATTTGAAGTGCTATTCTGGCTGATCTCCTAGAACCTTTTAGGCTTATGTACTTGTTTAATCAGTTTATATGAAAGTAAATTCAGTTTCCAAATATGCTACCTTATCACCTAAATATTATTGCCACCTATAACTTTTGGAGAAGAAGAAATTATTTGTCCAATAAGGCTCATCATACTTTTATAATTTATGTTAATATAAATCAGAAGTGCACATCCAGAGCTATAGGGTCCTATAAAGGTTTAGATGTTGCTTTCTGAACCCCTTCAGTATTTGCTGCTGAATTTAACTTTAATGTGACAAAGTGTTACTCAATATATGAGGACTAATAATATTCCTTTTTTATTTAAATATACTTTTTTTGTGCGTGTGTCTGTTTGAGTCAGTGTTGACTCCTGGTAACTGCCTGGACAAGCCCCTGCAGTTTTCTTGGCAAGGTTTTAGAAGTGGTTTGCCATTGTCCGCTTCCTAGCACTCAGAGAAAGTGACTGGTCCAAGGTCACCCTGTTAGTTTTGTGCCTAAAGTGGGACTAGAACTTATGGTCTCCCGGTTTCTAGCCTGATGCCTTAACCACTACACCAAACTGACTCTCAAATATATATTTTTATTAAGTTAAATCAGATTTAGTTTTTGTTCAGGACTAACACATTTTTTGGAGTACCGTTCCTGCCATGTCATTCAATGGTCCAGTGAGGCCCTTGATTATAAATCCTGGCTGTTGCTGCTCATTTGGTAAAGAATCTGATTAATTTCCAGAGAATAAGCTATATAAATCATTTATGCCTTTATAAATATTTGTTGTGAAAAGTCCATTCCCTGCATGGGATTGATTAAAATCCATTGGCAATTCTTTGCTAGATAGATGTGTTTTGTTTTCTACCAGCTCTCCTTAGGATGCTTCAGATGCTGCTGAGAGGGCTTCAGCTCTCCACAGCTGATCTCCATGGAGCACAACATAAGGGAAGAAGATTCCCCATCTTTCCTTCCAGTTTTAGCAGTGCCCATGTGTAGTGCATCCACCTAGTAAATCTTAAATAAATTTAGTATTGGGAAAATGTGATTAAAGTCAGAAGACTTGATATTGTGAATTTTTATTTACGGGAGTGTTACATTTTAAATGTTTTGAACATTTAAGCAGCATTTGTTGCCCCTGTCAAATGTCTAAAACGTACTGCTGTACTACTTAGTTTTCTAATCCTGCATAACAAGAACAGTGTGATATAGAAGAAATACATAAATAACATACTGACTCTCTAAAAGTCCAGAAAAGATTAATGAAAAGATTAAAATTAGCCCCAATCTAATTGAATAAATGAATTACAATGCAATTCTATATACAGCTAGTCCTCACTTAACAACCACAATAGGGACAGGAAAATTGGTTGCTAAGTGGGGCAGCCATTAAGTGACTCACCATGTGACCAGATTAAATTTTACGACCATTTTTATGATGGTCATTAAGTGAATCACC